TATACTAAGCTCCTTCTCTCTCGCCCACTGCGTCCTCCGGGCTCACTGCAGACCTCCTTGCACAAGTCGCTGTGACAGCGCTTCCGCATGGCTCAAGCAGGAATGAATGAAAGGCTGGGCGCTGCCTCTTGATTTATACTTCGGAAACTCGTTGGTCTGCCCTTTGCCATCGGCCCATGGTGCTCACAGTCCCCCGTGCTACTTGCTGGACCGGACTGGGACTGACTGGACCTTACCGCTGACTGACTGTGGACTCACTGCTATCCTACGGAGGTCGTACTGCGATTGCACTGCAGTTTAGTCCACCACTTGCCTCGCCACTTGACCACTTGCCTTGCCGACCTTCTAGAAGGACTACAGCTAGACTTCTGGAACTTGCTAAGACTTCTACTCTATAGACCTACAGATTGAACCCCTACTGCCTATGCACCTACGACAGACCTACCAACTGTCTACGAATACACAGGTCACAGGTTCAATTCTCGGGGTCTACACCGATACTGTACATAGGTAGGGTGAGGTCTAGGGATCGAACCCTGGGTACTGCATCTGCTACTGCTAAAAGGTGAAAACCGTTTCACTCCCGCCGTCCTAAATTCGAGGTCCTCCGAGAATATCTCAGTCCAAGGCAGGACCTTTACCCTTCTTGTCACGCTCATAGGCTCTGACTATGTCGGGAGCTGTCTCTAGAAGCTCTGTTCTTGTGAACCAGCGGTTGTCTTCCGGTTCTTGATAAGCAAACCGGACCTTATACTGTTTCTGGGGACGACCTCTACCTCCTGTTCTGAACACATCCTCATCTACAATGCCGTCAATGTCATAACTTCCATCCATATCCGGGGGGATCATGGATCTTCTTGAAGGGAACTGTTGACTTGTGACACACAGGAACAACTTTGAAGCATGAAACACAGGGTATGTGTGGAGGTGTGCTGGGATCTCTATAGTGTAGGACGGTCCATCCTCTCCGCCCTTGACTTCTAGAAACGGCCACGGTCCTCCATATGCAGGCAGTAACTTCTGCGAGATGTTTTCTTGAGGTGCAAACTCTTTTGCCTTAACCCAGACTAAGTCGCCTACTTGAAACTGTGATGGGCGACGGTGCTTATTAGCCTGTTCTATCATCCTATGCTGGGCCTTCCGGAGGTTCTCAACAACAGTTGCTAATTCTTTCTCGTGCTGTATCGCAAACTCCCTGGTACCGGGCGGTAGTCTGTGAATCGATCCCGGTTCAGTCCTTCGAACGGTCTGCGCGGCCTAAAGGACTTGTGCAGCTCATTGGGAGTGCGACAGGTGGACAGATGCACGCTGTTGTTGTATGCGCTAGCTACCTTGGGCAACATCTCGTCCCAATTGATTTGATCAGTTCTAATGTACATGCGCAGAACTTGCTGTAGGACCTTGTTCATCTGTTCAGTCTGACCGTTTGTCTCGGGATGGCGGCGAGACGACATCGACAGCTTAGATCCGTAGACTCTCATGAGTTCTTGCCAGTTCTGGCTGGTGAAACGACTATCTCTATCGCTGACTATTGACAATGGGATTCCATTCTCACTAACCCAAAAGTCAAAGAACTTCTGTATTACTAAATCGGTACGTGCCTCTGCAGGCAAAGGAACAAAAACTGCATACTTACTAAATCGGTCAACTATGACCATGACTTGGCTCTTACCATGTCTGCTCTTGACTTGGGTGTCCATGAAGTCGATGGACACTGAGTCTCCCGGCTGATCCGGAATAGGCAAGGGTCTGAGAAGACCTAGGGGGGCGCGCGTAGTAGTCTTATTCCTCTGGCACACTTTGCAACTGTGAACATATTCTATGCAGTCATTCTTCAACCCTGGCCAGGTGTACGCACGCATTAGATTGGCGAATGTCTTCTGCCAACCAAAATGTCCCTCGGTATCGTGGCATTCCCCTAAGATCAAACTACGAATCTCTTCGTTGTTGGGAACGCAAAGGCGGTCAAACACATTAGTCTTCTCAAACAGTAATCCCTCTGTAGTGCGGTAATCTGGCTCAGTCTCTGGGGCCTCTCTAACTCTCTTTAGGAGGTCGCTATAAATAGGGTCCTGCGCATACGCTTGCTTCACCTTCTCCTGCAGGTCTCTCCCTATATCCAGATAGTGTACTATGGCTCCAAAGTAGTATGATCTCCTACTCAGAGCGTCCGCAACTGCGTTGTACTTGCCCTTTACTGGCTTGAGCTCAAAGTCGTACTTGTCTATCTCAGCGGCCCACCTAGTTAGCTTAGGTGTCATCTTGGCCTGGGTCTTTAACCATCTAAGGGTCTTGTGGTCAGAATACACTTTGAAGTGCCTCCCAAGCAGGTAATGCTTCGAGTGGTCTAGAGCCTGCCTAAGAGCGTAGAGTTCTCTCTCGTACGTCGAGGTGGCTACCTTTTATGAGGGCATCCTCGCGGACATGAACTCTACGGGTCTATAGCCATTGCCGTCATCCTGCTGCAACACAACGCCTATCCCATACTGACTTGCGTCCGTGGTGACGACAAATGGCAAGGACGGATCAACTACTTTGAGGACAGGGTACTCTATGAGTGTGCGCTTCAATCTCTTTAGCGCAGACGTACAATCTTTGTCCCATTGCCCGATTGCCTCTTTCTTAAGCAACCTGCGCAAGGGAGCGGCGATAGTGGAGAAGTTCCTCACGAACTTCCTATAGTAGTTAGCTAAGCCTAGGAACAACTGCAACTCTGTCAGTGTGTGGGGCGTCAGCCAATCTCTTATCGCCGCTATCTTACTGTCCCCTGGCTTAATGCCATCTCCGTCCAACACGTGGCCCAAGTACAGGACTTGTGTCTTGGCCCACTCGCACTTCTTTGCGTTGATCTTGAAGTTAGCCTCTCGTAGCTTCTCCAAGACCTGCCTCGGATGACCCCGATGCTCCTGGAGGGTCCTACTGAAAACTAAGATATCATCTAAATAGACTACTACAAACTTGTCTAACCATGGTCTGAACAGATCGTTCATACAACGCTGAAAGGTGGCTGGCGCGTTGGTTAGTCCAAAGGGCATCACTATAAACTCATAGTGCCCGTATCTAGTCCGGAACGCAGTCTTATACTGGTCATCAGGATGGACCTCTATCTGATGATAACCGGACTTCAAGTCTATCTTGGAGAAATACTTACAACCCTGCACCCGATCTAAAAGATCGTCTATCCTGGGCAGCGGTTCAACATTCTTCACAGTAATCGCATTCAAACCCCTATAGTCTATACACATTCTCAGCTCTCCTTCCTTCTTGGGGACAAACAAAACGGGTGCTCCAAAAGGAGACGAACTGGGCCCGATCCAACCTTTCTCGAGGAGGTCGTCTAACTGCTTGCGCAGCTCCTCTAACTCTCTAGGGGACATCCTGTAGACTGCTCCCTTAGGAGTTCTACTGCCAGGCTCTATCTCTATCCTATGCTGGATGGGTCGCGACACTACTCCTGTCGGCGACTCAGTCAGGTCTTTGAACTCTTCCAACAGCTTGGCAATGGTTGGATCTGTGGAACTCACTTCTTCCTTAGCCTCAGTGACAGGTCTGACATAAACCACAAATACCTGTTCCTCTAATCGCTCCTTCTTCACTAACCGCGCGAACGTGTGCCAAGGTGTTATCTACACCTGACACATGAAACAGGCGGACAGTCTTAACATCGCCTGATGGACTAGGGAGCCTACACTCATGCTCTCTCAAGTGGAGTGTGGCTCCTGCTGCCTCTCCCCAATCCATTCCCAATACTACATCGAAAGGAAGGTCATCCTGTACGAGGAGAGTCAGGGAATGGAGAATTTTTTCCACCTTCCCATCTTTCTCTAGGCGAAAGTACGCTTGGACTCCATCTACATAGTACTACACACGCATTGTGCGGTTGTCTGCGAGGACACTGACTATGGGGTCTGCTAACTTCTGGACTTTTAGTTCTAGCCTCAGCTTCTTCAGCACCCTACTAATAATATAACCACGGGTGGCCCCTGAGTCTATAAGGGCCCCTACCCTGCTCATGAAAACTTCTACATCTACCAAGATTAACTTTCCTTTGCTCTCTTTCTTCATCTTGGCCCAGGCTGGCATCCTCTCCCTTAACTCTTCTGCCACGCCTGTGAGGGACGTGCCTAATGAGACGCTAACAAAGGCAGTCTCTGGACAGCTAGCTAGGCACGGGCCTGCAACCTCTGCCATAGGCTCATGTGGGTTGGGAGTGTCCTATTCGCGCGCGCTCACTTCTCCACATGGCCTTAAAGTAGGGGCAGTTGCGACCCCTACTGGCGGCTGCCTTTTGGCTGTTGGGCAGCCCGACGGGCCTGTCTATACTTAGGACAATATTTAATGACATGGGCCGGGTCACCACAGAATACGCATTGACCCTGGTCCACGCGCTCCTGCCATATGTGCTGGTCCAAGCCCAAATCTTCCCAGGGCCTGCCCTGTGGCAAGCCTGGGTGCCATCCTCCTTGAGGTGCCCTACCACCTCGTCGCAGTGGGGACCGATTGGAACCTTGGCGATTTGACGGGGGACCTTGACCCCTACCTCCCGCTTGGTGGTTTCCCTGTCCGCCAACCCCCTGTGCGCCCGGTCCACGGCCTCCCATGGCCTAGCCCCTTTGGCCCTGGCCTCCTCCTCTACCTTGCGGCCTCCCTCCAACCGCGACAGCAGCATAAGACCTCCCCTGTCCTACACTACTGTCCTCCTCCTCTAGGCCCCACTCAATCTGACTGTATGGGACCTCGTCAGTACCACCTTCCTCTAACGTAAGGATCATGTGATCCTTGGCCCTCACCTGGCCTGAGATGGTACGACCCTTCCACTGCTTTCCCTTACCTAAGTCCTTGTGCCAGAAAGTGGTAGCTGTCATGGACTTTGACTTATACAGGACGACTTCTCTACTCAATGCATCGTAAGTGATGCCGACCTGTTGAGATTTGTCAAAGAAATGCCCACGTAGGGCCTCTGGCATGGCACGATAAAATAACTGACCAACTGGGTCTCAGTGACCCCATAGTCCGAGACGGCTACCAAGTCATCCATGGTACCCTTGAGTGCTCTTGCACTCCTCCACTGCCGTGAGTGGATCGCTTGCAGCTTGTCAGAGGCGCAAACGCCTCTCGTTGGGTCAGCGAATCGCTCCTTTAGGAGCTTGAGGAATTGAGAAAGGGGGGTGACTTTCGAATATGCAACCAGGTTGTTTTCACAACCGGCTGCGCGCACAAGGGACCTGGCAAAGCTAGCCGCCTCATCCTTAAGGGCCTGGAAGGCCACGATGACTTGTTCCTCTATCAGGATATGCTGTAGATATATATAACTATTCACACTGGCTTCCCAGTTGTCAAAGTTCTCTTCCTTCTTCCCTCCATAAGCATCCGGGAATTTAAGCTTAACTGGGTCCTTGCGAGGCCTGTCCTCGCCTTCGACAGCGGCTATGGCTTTGGCGCCCTCGATAGCGCCCTTACAAAACTTCCCTACCTTGTCCCTTAGTTGCCTGACTTCACCCCCAATATGGGTGACGATCTCGCGCGCAAAGTCTCTGAACCCTGACCGCATGGCACTCAATGCTACATCCTGGCTCCAACTGGCCTGGCGCTCCTCCATCCAGGACTTGCTCAACACTTCCAGGTAACCCAACACCTTGTCCCACTTAGCCTTGTCATCAGGTTGGGCCAGCACTTCCTTTCTACATTCCTGCACCTTGGCCACCTCTGCAGTCAGTTTGCTCACTTCCTCTCTCCTCCTCTTCTTCTCCCTCTTCATCCTCAGCTTCCACGCCAATTTTTGCTCCTCCTCCCTTTCTCGCCGTTCCATTGGATCTGTCATTGCTGCTAGCTCACTGGCTAGCGCAACCCTCTCATCCTCAGTCACGTAAGACTTCGCCTCTTCGTCCTCTCCCAACGATAAATTAGCGACCCACTCGCTTATCTTCTTCTCAATCTCAACACGTATCCCTCTTCATCGTGCCACCACTGCTCCCTTCTCCACTCTCAATCCTCATTCTCTCTTTTTCTTCTTCTGCTGCCGCTTCTTCTTCAACAGCCTTCTTCTTTTTCTCCATCTCCTCCTCTAATTCCTTCATCTTTGCCGCCTGCTTGTCTGCGATAGCCTTTAGCTTCGCTTGCTTCTCGCGCTCTTTCCTCTCTCTGTTTCCCCTCACTAAGGCGGCCATCTTTTCTTGTTGCTCCTTGCTATAGGGGCTAGTGTCTAACCCACTACGGGTCTCAACCATGGTGATAAGTGTACAACCGGATTAGTGGTTCCAAACCTCACCACGTAGACTCTGACCCCTGACTGACAGACCTACTGACTCAGTCTAAGGACTTACAGAATCCTGACAGGGATCCTGTCAACTATGGTCTCTAGCCTAGACCTAACTATGGTTGTCACTACTAGACCTTTGCTGATCAGGAAGCATTTAAGGAGATCCCGCGAACTCCTCAGGAATTATTTAACGTCGCAGACAGGACGACGCGATCAGCAGGTCTCTCAAGACTTAGACGGTCTGTTGTGCAGCCCACAGCTCGGATTTCGAGGCCTACCGTGCCACACTGAGCAGCCCACCGGTCAGTACCGGTCCTTGGGAGGGTTTGACCTCCGGGACAGTCGAGTCGTCAGGCACAACTTTTAGCCCTACTCATCCCGTGTGGGTTTGGTCAACAAGACCCTATCCTTCATCCACAGAGTACTATCACCTAGGACAAAAGAGACTCGATGCAGAAAGAATAGACAGACAGACTGGACTCAACAAGTACCAAGGGGTGTGTGCACATCCATAGGGCAATGGATAGGCTGACGGCTTGGCGAGATGTTACCAACTCCAGCTTGGTCAAAGTCTTGGTCAACGCCGGTCGACGCTGCTATCAACCCCTGGTCAACTCCGGTAAACGCCGGTCAACACCTCCGGTCAACCCTTCGGTCAGCTATGGCTGTCGGCTCCTCTTCCTCGCCAACCCTCTTCTTCCTTCCACCTTCCTTACCTTCTTTCACCCCTGCTGTCTTCTTTTTTTTTTTTTTTTTTTTTTTTTTTTTTTAATCGGCCTTCTCTTCACCTCTCGGCAATGGCCTCCTTCTCTCCCTTCTCGGTCTCTCCCCCTCTGTTCGGTCTCTCTCCCTCCTTCACTACTCCGTGGTGATGCTCCGCGGCTATAGCCGCTTCTTCTTCCTCCACGTGGGACTGCACAGTCCGCTTCACAGGTACGTAACAGCCAAACTTGTATC